TATTCTGCAAAACTGCCAATATCTACACATAGATACCTGGAAGCAATTGAGCAAAAATGCTAATATTTCATTATAAAAATTAATTAAAAAAAATTAGAAATTGAAAATGTAAAAATAAACGGCGTAACTTTTGTAGACGATGGAGTGCTATGATTCAATATAGATTTTGAGTCAATTGATCACATTACCTGGAAGCTATTGAGCAAAAATGCTAATATTTTAATATAAAAATTAATAAAAAAATATTAAAAACTTAGAATGCAAAAAAAGGGCATAACTTTTGAAGATGATGGAGTGCTATGATTCAATATTGATTTTGAGTCAATTGATCACATTACCTGGAAGCTATTGAGCAAAAATGCTAATATTTCATAATAAAAATGAATAAAAAAATATTAAAAACTTAAAATGCAAAAAAAAAGGGCGTAACTTTTGTAGATGATGGAATGCTATGATTCAATATTGATTTTGAGTCAATTGATCACACTACCTGGAAGCTATTGAGCAAAAATGCTAATATTTCATAATAAAAATTAATAAAAAAATATTAGAAATTTAAAATGAAAATATAAAGGGCGTAACTTTTGTACACGATGGCGTGCTATGATTCAATATAGATTTTAAGTCAATTGATCACATTACCTGGAAGCTATTGAGCAAAAATGCTAATATTTCAATATAAAAATTAATAAAAAAATATTAAAAACTTAAAATGCAAAAATTAAGGGCGCAACTTTTGTAGACAATGGAATGCTATGATCCAATATTGATTTTGAGTCAATTGATCACATTACCTGGAAGCTATTGAGCAAAAACGCTAATATTTCCACATAAAAATTAATACAAAAATATTAAAAACTTAAAATGCAAAAAAAAGGGCGTAACTTTTGAAGATGATGGAGTGCTATGATTCAATATTGATTTTGATTCAATGGATCACATTACCTGGAAGCTATTGAGCAAAAATGCTAATATTTCAATATAAAAAATAATAAAAAAATATTAGAAATTTAAAATGAAAATATAAAGGGCGTAACTTTTGTAGACGATGGCGTGCTATGATTCAATATAGATTTTGAGTCAATTGATCACATTACCTGGAAGCTATTGAGCAAAAATGCTAATATTTCATAATAAAAATTAATAAAAAAATATTAGAAATTTAAAATGAAAATATAAAGGGCGTAACTTTTGTAGACGATGGCGTGCTATGATTCAATATAGATTTTGAGTCAATTGATCACATTACCTGGAAGCTATTGAGCAAAAATGCTAATATTTCAATATAAAAATTAATAAAAAAATATTAAAAACTTAAAATGCAAAAATTAAGGGCGTAACTTTTGTAGACAATGGAATGCTATGATCCAATATTGATTTTGAGTCAATTGATCACATTACCTGGAAGCTATTGAGCAAAAACGCTAATATTTCCACATAAAAATTAATACAAAAATATTAAAAACCTAAAATGCAAAAAAAAAGGGCGTAACTTTTGAAGATGATGGAGTGCTATGATTCAATATTGATTTTGATTCAATGGATCACATTACCTGGAAGCTATTGAGCAAAAATGCTGATATTTCAATATAAAAAATTATAAAAAAATATTAGAAATTTAAAATGTAAAAAGATGAAGATGAAGCTGTGCTATGATACAACATTGTTTTTTTTAATCAATTCATCACATCATTGCATTTTTGGAAGAGGTCATGGCCACAGGTGGTTGAGGGACAACAGGTAGGTGAATACTCTGTATCAGAGACAATCTCCTCTGAGTCCCTTTCACTGTCAAACAGCTGTTTATAAACTTCTTTGAAGGTAAACCTTTTCAACCTGGACCAGGGCAGGAATTTCCCGCCCTCCACACAGCAGGAAAGGTAACTTCTACCCTGGCAGGTTTGAGTTCAGAAGGTCACAGACACACACACACACACACCTTCATGCCCATAGTCCAGAAGTATAATCATTCTCATGGAAATAAAAACAAATGTATCAACTCAAATGGATCTCCTGCACCTGCAGCTATGTTCATGTTAGGTCACACAGAACAAGAAGAGGGGTGTGCCAAAGCAGTGAGGTCGCAGATTCGAGGCTTAGACAAACGGTTAGAGGTATTAGATTTTGATAATCCATTTTCTGAATGTGGGTTTTAATATGGGTCGCTTTAAAAAAGGGCACAGATTGATTAATACTGGCTTGTGGGAGAAAGCTGGAGGGACAGATGCCATTGTCAAGGCTTTTAAACATAACCAGGTTTGTGAGGTAAATATCCCACCTGATATTTGGAAATCAGTCACACTGGAAGTTTTCAAAACTGCTCATAAAGAGTACACTAACTGGCTGAGAATCATCTGGAGGGAGGACAGACGAGGAGTCCAAACAGCAGTGCTTCGTCAAGGTAAGAAGTTACAGCTTAATATGCATTACTTAATTTATATTTCATCTAAAACTAATTTTTCATAATCACGTTTTTTTTTTTTTTTTTTATTTCTTATCAATCTTGTATGCATTATATGCTATACTACCATATATAATGATGTGCTCTTTGGTTTATGATTTATAAGTTTCATTAATTTTCTGCTTTTTTTCCGTCTGTGTATAACATCAGAGAATAAGAGGGAATTTGTAATCATATCTTACATTCATTAAATCAGTGCTTACTTCGACTGTACATAAGTCAAGCACATTCACACGGTGTATTATTTCATGGCTGCATATGGAAATATTGTTAGTTGTTGATAAGGTGTTTAGCAGAAAGATGTTTTGCCATAAAAAAAAAATAACACTTAAACCTCCTGTACTTTCATAGGTTCATTACACCTAAAAAGTGTGAAAGTATTCCAAGTTGTAAAGGCTTATTTGGATGAAATACCACATCATCTAACTCTTTAGTTGTAATGGGAGCAATATTCCTAGTGAGCCAATTTTTTTCTTGTATTTGTTGATATCATGTTAAATACCTCTGACATTATTAGCTAAAATGAAATACTGTGGAACCATTTTTAAACTGTGTGCAGCAGCATAATTTCTCTAGCTGAGGCAGTCACAGTTGAACATGTGGACAGACTGAAACCTAAAACAACATGCATTTAGATGAACACAGTCAATGCTTGCTTATTATTTAAATACATCTGTGTCCAATTATAATTCTATTTATTTTGTTTTATCTTATGCAATATTTTTTTCTATTCTAGATAAAGTACAAGCAAAAGAAAGGCATGGAAAAGGAAAGTCAGATGGTGTAAGAGATGAAAAGGAGGAGAACTACAATACAGATACTGACAACATACCAGCATCTGGAGTCAGTGACAGTACAGTGGACGATGAAGGTGCACAGCAAAAGGTTCAGATGCACAGCTTACGGTCAGTAAAAATACATCAAATCATGACACAAGAACAAGAGAAAAAGAATCACAAGGGAAAGGCAGTCGTTAAGATGAATGAAGATGAGGAGAGTTACACTCAGGATTGTGAAGGCATACCAGAATCTGAATTCAGTGACAGGGAAGTGGATAACAAAAGTGCACATGAAAAGAGTCATACGCCCTGTGTAAAGGTATTTAACACTAGTCACATCTGGGAACAAGAGCAAGGAAAAAACAGTCACAGAAAGGGACAGAAAGTCGGTAAGACGGATGGAGACGAGGACAGTTGCACTGAGGACAGAGAGGACATCCCAGAAGCTGAATTCATTGACAGTGAACTGGATGATGGAAAAATTTACACTAGACATTGCAGACCAGGCCAAAGACTTTTCAAAATATTTATTACACAAAAAAAGTGGGACAAAATAAAACCGAAATATGACATGAATAAACTCCGATCACCATGGACAGACATATTGTACAATGAGTTTATGAAGGAGAACCCATGTTGCACACTTGCATTTAAGTACCAACATGTTAAAAAAAGTCATAGCCACAAGAAGAAATCAGTATTTCAGTGCAAAAGCAAAATGCACTTTTGACGAGTGTGCAGCTGTCTATCTTTTCTCAAAGAGAAAAAAGCCAAGTCCCACAGACAAAAAAATAGGTTTTACAGTGATTCGTGTTGGTGCTGTTACACACAGTAAAAAACAAAGAAAATTTCGACCTGCGAAGTATCTGAGAAGAGGAAAAATAGCAAAAGCTCTATCGAAAGGTGTCAGCAATTTTCATTACGCCATGCTGAAGAATACACCAGTAGACGAAATCACAGCTGGCAACATAACTCGTAGCATGACCAAGGATGTTTTAAAGAAAATATCCTCTGAAATGAAAAAGACCAACAGGCTTCACAATGATGTTATGATGGAACTGATGCTCACTCAAAAAGTAATCCGGGAGAGTGGCAGTCATGCATCTTTTAAAGGCTATCTACAGCACCTACAACTGGACCCATTTGCTCTACATTTGTACACACAGGGTGGAGTAAACATTTTGACAGAACACCTAAAAAAAAACACCCCAGTAACCCTCTACCTTGATGCTACAGGCAGTGTGGTGCAGAAAATACCATATCAAAACAAGAAGGTTCTGTATTATGCATTGGTTCTTCCTGGCATGGGCAAGGACAGCCCTCCACTACCCGTCACAGAACTTGTGTCAAACAGCCATTCAGTCCCCACCATATCACACTGGCTTATGGAATTTAAAAGGAAACTATCAAACAACACCAAAAAACAAATAGCACAGGTTGAGACAGATCATAGCTGGGCTATGATAAATAGTGTGCTTCTTGCATTCAACAGGGAAAATGTTTCTGTCTACCTTGACAGAGCATACAACATTGCAATTGGAAAAAACAAGGAATTCCCAATCTTTACTGTGCTTCATCTTTGCTCAGCCCACATTTTGAAGGCTGTTTTGCAAGCATTGGTGAAGAAAACTACAGACAAAGGCATAAGGGAATATGCCTTATATGCCTTCGCTTACCTTCTAAACTGCACCAGCATGAAGATGGCAAAAGAGGTTTTTTATCACATGTGTGTGCTTTTTGATTCCGAGGAGGATACCGTAATGGTGAAGCAGAGCAAGGGTTATCTTGATGTGTGCATTTTTGACAGCAAGGGCCTTAAGGTGGAGGACGATGAGATAAAGATGGAAGGAGAGCATATCATTATGGACAAAACCCCAACCTCTAAGTCACCTTTTACACAAGCTTTTCAACTGCAAAGGGACCAAGCAGAATGTGACATCCTTTCTAATGATGCCATTGGCACATCTAACCATTACCACTGTCCTGGTGTTATTGATGTGCTATTAAAAACCTACATGGGGATCTTTCCTTTATGGAGTGGTTTGCTTCTTGGTGATCTGAAACGGCACTCCAAGACTGAAATGAAACTGACAGATCAAAGGCTCAAAACAAGAAATACCAACTGCCATGTCGAGCTGTGGTTTGGTTTAGTCAAACATTCAATCCTGCAAAAGAAGAGGTACTTGCGACCAGCAGAGTTTGTGTCCAAAATGTATGACTCAATGCAGGGAAGATATATTGAGCATATCATACAACAAAATCTGCCAAAGCAGATTTTTGACAAAATCAATGCAAGTTCAGGCAAATCAGATGATGACCCCACTGAACAATGGAACAAGCGAGACAGCTCTGCTGGGCGGCCCAAATCACAATCGAAGTACTTCAATCCACCGAAAAAAATAAATAAACCGAAGACCAAGCAGAAGTCCAACAAGGTCAAAGAGGATCACCAAGACAAAGATGCACAGGTGTTGTTTTGTATATTTGTTATCAATGAAAATTTATTTTTAATTGCTTTAAGACCATTCTATGAATTCTTTAACATTATTCATTCCACCATCACACAATACTAAACATTTACCTTTTTTATTCCGATTCTGCAGATAACCCTTCTTTGGAAAAAAAAGGACAGTGAGGTGGTGGTTGCAGTGATTCCATCACAGACGAAGGGACAGAACCTCCTTATTCACCACTCTGAGCTGTGCTCACTTAGGCCTCACCAGTGGTTAACAGGAGAAGTATGTAATAAGAGAGCATTTTCTGAAAGCTGGTAACAGAAGTATAATTTTGTCCGAATTTAGGATGTTTATTACTATTAATTGAAATTTTCTTTGTTTTTATCAGGTTATTGAGGGCCTGCTACATGTTTTTGCTCACACGTTCAATGTGATGGACAAGATCTATTTAATGAATCACTATACTACAGGTTGTATTCTGTTTGGTGATAGAACAAAGCTACATCAACAGAGTTTACGAAAGGTAAAGTTGTGTGTGTGGTCTTCTTTATGCTAACCTCTAGGTGACAATTTCAGAGAAATACTCAACATTTTCTTGATTTATAGGTACTTGTGGGAAACAGCGACTGGTCTTCAGGAGGAGATGTTCTCTTCATAGAGTGGGGGTTACGTTTAGAACTTGTGAATTGAGGTTAATTTAGGTTAAATTATTGACATGTGTTGTTAAGGCTTGGGGTTAGGGCAAGGGTCCTTTGTAGGTTATAGAAATTAATGCAAACAGAAGTTAAAAACATCTATGTGAGTGTTTGTGGTCCTTGGGATAATACATATTTGCCCTATGACTCCTTTTGACAAAAACATCTATGTACTCAATCCTGAGTATAAAATATAATGAAGAAATTCTGATGTAATACACTTAAAATGGTATTACATCGAAATCATGTTGTGAACTACTCATATGTCTTTGAATTTATGTTTAGATTCTTACTCACATTCATATGTAATTATTAAATTTTTAGGTGAACTTCAGCAACTTTGAAGCCGTCCTGTCATTTGTGCTGGTGAACAATAACCACTGGAAATTGCTGGTTTGTAAATTCTTGACTTTGTTGTCTTTGTTTGTTTTTTTTGGCATAAATGCATATCATCTCCCAAGCTATTAGGTTAAAAACATTAATAGTGCCATGGTCCATTTAGAAAGGTACAGGGACAATTAAGTACTTACAGAAATGAGTGCTTAGCACATTAAAACATACAGAGACAAGAAGGTAGACATGCATAAAGTGACTGACAGATATGGAAGGTCATGTTTAAGTTAAGAATATTAATGTCATTCATAATCTCATCACACTTTGGCATTCTCAGAAGTTGGGTTAGACATTTTGTTGGATAACAGTGTCTTATTATGTTTTGTTTTGTCATAGTACCTACACGCAGAAACCAGCATGGTGTACCTTGTGGATCCAGCCCAAAACACATCTGAGCAGAAGGACTCACAAGTCACTGCTAAACGAATCCGGTACAATCATTTAAAACTACTTCCAATTTATGTTTCAAATGCTGTATAACAAACTGTGTTTATTGAACAGGCCAAAGTGAAACAGTATTACAATTTCTGGAGCTTGGGATAAATGGATGTAAAACATAGAATGTTTTAAAGCCGAACATACGGCTACCCTAACATCAACCTCTGGTCATGAGTAAAAGATTAAACCTCTATTCCACAGTGAAAATGCTAGTAAAGTTAAGACTCTCCTGTTTGCTTTTTGTTTTATTTTAACATAAAAAAATCAAAATAGTTGTCCTTCTTTGGAACATTTTAGTCTCCAGTTCTTTACAGGTGGTATAGAATTTGAAGCAGTGCTTCTATGTGTCAATCTGTCAAAGATGTTGTCATTAAGTAAGAAGGTTATGTAAATTTACTTGGAATATTATACAAAATGATACAGATGTTTGAAAATTTTAGTGGTACTTTTCAATACCCAAGTGCTTTTTAATACCATTAACACTTTTACCCAAATACTATACTTGAATCCTTTGTCCTACAGTCTTACTACCTACGATAGATACCCTTAACACCCCGTGTCCTCCCTGTAGATCACAAAATCTCTTATCATTCAAGCTCTGTATTTGGAATCCATTATTAGCTTAATCTATAAGGCCCAATCACTGTAAAGGCCAAAGCTGTCCCACCCACCAGTAAAAAAACTTAATACAGTCTCCACATTTAATAGGTTCAACAATTATTGTCAGGTATAGAACGTCAGAAATTTCTGTATAACACATAACTTATCTTTTTTCTAACACTGTTGACATAACTGTTCTGTATTGGTCTTACTAGATTAAATGCATACAGGACTCAACCGTTGTAACAGTTAATATCTGTCTTGCGGGTGGATCTTTAGAGGGTGATGATGAATAATTATTTTTCCTTCATAAACCCATATTTATGGTGTGATTTAACAAATGTGTTTGATAATCTATGGAAACAAGGGATCTAGGTGTTGAGTGCATAACAAATATAGACTTTTTTTCAGGGAGTACTTCACAATGAGGAGGACTTGTTATGGGAAGTCGGATTGGGTGGATATAAAATGGAAAGGCGGGGTTATGTCCCATTCATTCCAACAAGATGGAAGCAACTGTGGAGTGCTGGTTGTGAAGGTAAGCGAAAGGCAATTTGTTTTCCTTAAGCTACTACTTTCTTCTTCAACCAGATAAGATTAAACTTTTTCTTTGTAATTTCTTTTCTGATTCAGCTTGTTTAATACTTTTCAGCCTATGCTGAGAACTTTGGCATCATTCTGCTCTCTTTCTGGACAGGAATTAAGCTTTTCTGTTTGCTACTAATTCATAACATGCCTGACATGTTTCTGGGCAGTGGGTGGCCCCCTTCAAAATTTCTTTAGAAATTTTTTCTAGAAACTTGGGAGACATTATATTAAGACCCTTCTAGCTTCCACATTCAAGACATTTTTTGATATCATTTATGGTTTGGCTGTGCAGCTTTTAAGATAAGTTTGTTTCTGCCATTTTACTGCCAAATTATTCAACCCTACAAAATCTTCAGATGATTCAATTGTTTTCTGCAGTTTGAAGCTTCTGATGACTTCCTTTCAAATTTTCATATGTTCCTCAGGTAATTTGTGCTTCTTTTCCTTCTCGCAGTTTCTTTTGCTAATTTTTATTATTTCGTTCAGCAAAAAAAGCATTCCCACTTTGCTGTTTCTGCGAAACAGCTTTTTCTAGTTGCTATTGTGTTCAGTCTGTTTATAATATCCAGTTATGAGACCATAACGGGCTGCTGCTGAGCTGGTTTTACTGCCCCATGTGTAAAAGGGGGTAAAATGTATTTACTTAGGCGCTTTGCAGCTAATAGAATCTGAATCACATCCCTGTTGATGCGAAAACTTTACTTTTTCTGTTTTCACAGTAGAATTTAAATTCCAGAGTTAGCAGCTACCGCTATGGTGTGGGCATGACTCGCCGTGACTGCTTTATGTTTTATCTTGTAGAAAAATGCAGATAATCTTAAACGAAGAACTAGATTAATTTGTGACGGGGTCCACAGCACAGCTGTTTGGAGAGATTAGTTGGCTGCGTGGTTGCCCGATCAAAATGCCGCAATTGTAAACAAACGGGTCAGAATAAAGGGTACCATGTTAATGCTGTCAGCTGTCATCTTATTCCCTTCTATTGTTTTGAGGACGCCACATTATTTGGTTTGCATGCAGAACAACTTTAAATCATTCACGTTTTTCAAGTTACTGGCAATAGAGTATTGTTTTGTCTACTTTTTACTATTGGTCTAAATTATTTGCTTCACTGGTACCATTAGAATGACAAAAAAGCAACTCAGCACAAAACGTTGATTGCGAGGAAATGTTTGTCATTTCAGAGTTAGGAGATAATATTATCTTGCCCATCTGTGGAAAATCTGTTAAAATAAAAGGAGGGCATAAGAGTGTCTGTGTGATCGAACCCGCGGCCAACGTTGTGCAGGTCGCAAGGCGTCTGATTACCCGCTGAGCTATTGATACGAACACTATATCTGACCCCATTTGCGATAATGAACCTGTTGCGTGTGTCTGTTCTGCCTGTTGACCAGCTGGTCTAGATCAACTGGTGACAGTTAATGTTTCAGAGTCCGCTGATCGCTTAAAACATGTTTGAATTCCAGAATATCAGTTTTATTATTACTATTTTTCCTTCTTTACTCTTAGAACAGAATGGGGCCTCCCCGTTAAGAGATAGTTAGACAGTAGGTTATGCTATGCTATTAAAAGAAAAAATAATAACCAGATCTTTATTTTTTCGATCAGATATCTACCATAAAATCTCCCTGTTTTATTTATTGATTGTTTGGCAGCAGTTAGCCTGGAGGCTCTGCTGCTTCTTTTAATGCTTTAGTACAGCAGGTTCTGCATTTGTTCGCCCCGATGCCCAAAATATAACATATATTCACACAATATATAAACTGAATTCAGAGATTTCACTCTTCCCTGCAGCGGTTATGTTATTTTGCTTTGTTCCTGCAACACATCTTAAACTTTAAAGACATTTATAACTCCTCTGGGAACGAGTTGGGCTGTAAGTAATTAGTTTCCCTCCATATAAACAGTCGGCGCTTTTCAGAAAAAAGAGGAAATTTTTATTTTCGCTCGTTTTAATTTACAAGACATACAGGACGACAAAAAAAATGGAAAAAATACACCGTTAGTTGTTCCCATTGATCTTTTATTGCACTGGCTGTTTTTACTTCTCATACAGCTTTCTGTGGTTTTTCTACTCGGTTCTTTCTCTCATCGCAGAGGCTCTGAAACAAACAGATAAACAACAACAGGACAAGTTCCTCAAATCTCTGTGTGCGGGTTTGGAGAAAACCCTAAAACATGCTATATGCTTTCTTAATGCAATTAAATACCTTTGTGATGGTGACTTCTTATGATCTCAACGTATTGTCGTATCGATCAGCTAACAAAATAATTTGTAGTTCTTGGAGTCTACACGCAGTTTACTTCCTGTTTGAGGCGAGGGGTCCTGAAAAGCCCCGCCCACAGACACATCTGCAAAAATCAGCGGTTTTCCAGCTGCCGTCACCAGTTGATCTGTCACACCCGCAGCAGCAGCGTTAGCTTCCTTCCTCCGTGGAGTGTTTGTAGAGAGGCTGATGATGTGTGAGTGTTTGCAGGGAGAATGTGTTCAGTCCAGCTTCAAGGAGAGTTTATCAGCGAGCAGTTAACTCCTGCTGAAGAAACATTGACGGAGGTTAAAGGAAGAGAGAAAAGGCCCAAAGTGGAGATGGACGATCAGCACAGACTGCTGGATTTCACCAGGATCCCCCAGATCATCTTACACCGGATAGGTAGGAAACACCTGATAGAAACGATTCCCTCAGGATGCAGACTGAGGGTTGGAGCCTCAGCTGATTGGAAAACTCATTAGAGGAGATCAACATGCTAAGCTAAAGCTAGCTTCTGCTTCAGCTAAAGGGCTGTTCCACCTCTTTTCTCTCCACTTTAACTGTCTTTATTCTGCTCTAAAAACTTCAGCACTCAGACACTTCAGACCTGGATTAGATAATCCAAGCAAACAGCAGAATCTTTAAAGCTCCTTTGGGGTTTGAGAAAGCTTTATCTGTTTTGTGAAACAAAGAGCCCTAGGAAGGCTTTTTTAGCATGTGGGCCTCATTATAGTTGGTGTTCTAGGTCAACTGGTGGTGGCAGCTGGATTATGCACTATGTAGTTTACAACTAGTTGAGGAACTGGAAAAGCTTTAAACTGACCTTGAAAGTCCTTGAAAAATATTTAAATTGGTTCATGAATAAGGTCAATAAATCAGGTGCTGTTACTGTTAAGAAATAAATAAATAAACTCCATGGAACTGTAAGATTAACTAGAAAAAGCTGTTTTGGAGAAACATCAAAGTGGGAATGCTTTTTTTGGGCAACAAAAATGAGTCTCCTACGCTGCTCTTTAACCATTAGTGGTGTGAAACATTCTGTAGTTGTGCTCTGTGTTAACACAAGGTTGTTGGTTCACATTTAATGTAATGGTTCACATTTAATGCCCAAACTCCGGCCATCTCAGGGACTAAGTTTATTAACTGTATCCTGTGGCTGTGGACTTTGCAAACATTGATCTGTTTTTTAGTATAACCTTGAAGCTCTCTTTAACATGGACCATATAAAATCATCTCAAACTGCCTTTTATGTCAGGATACTTCATCCTCTGACCACTTGAGGACTCAAGTAAGGCTAAAGCTAAGACTCATGCCACCGTTTGTGGCAGTTATTTTAACTTTTCAATTACAACAACACATTTGTTAAGGAAGAGTGGCGGCCTAGTGGTTAGGACATAGGGCTTGTGAGTTTTAAACCCACTCCCACAGACTGCCACTCTGGATCTCTGACCAAGACCCTTAACCCCCGATTACCAGGTGTTTTCAGGTATGGGAACACCTAAAACACACTGGACATTGTGTCCCCAGAACCAAAGTTAAAGACCAGGTTAAGTCTTTGCCTTCATGCAATAAACGTAGTGGTGTGTGACCCCTCCATCTTGTCCAATTTGTCTTGGTTTTATGCTGACGGCTCTGCAGGAGGAGAGATCACAGCTTTGATGCAGTCATGGTCTTCCAGTCCATTACAGGATCACCTTATCTGATTGGTTGACACTCGCCTCAAACTGAAAAACAGTCTAACAGTTTGGACGCAGGTCAACACTTGAAAGCTCCCAATGTGCCGAAGAGGTGAAACGGGCCTAAATGGTAGAATTTCATGTAAACCAGGAGCCCCTGACACTAAAGTAATTTTATCCGAATGCAGCATGAGGAAAAGACTCTAGCATCAGAGTAAAAGACACTAAAATTAATTTAACATGTCAGATTTCCAGAGAAAACCACACTATAATCTGGTAATGCAGTTATCAACCAGATATGTATAAATGTTTCATCGCTCACTTTCAGCTGCTACAAACAGCTAGCAGGTAGCGGGAAATAACAGATATGACTGCCATCAAGCTGATGATAGCGAGTAAACACTCCAACCACCCGCCTAACATGTAGCCACCGTGGCCTGTGGGTGGGGCTACGCTGCTTTGAAACCTCCAAAAGTCATTTTAAAGTTGGCTCATTGTTGATTGACTGACTGGTGAAATTTCTGGGTCTACTTTCTCCCCTGAAAACATCTTGAAATAAATTTTTACGTTTATATTTAATAACTGAGCTTTTATCACATACTTATGACTGTAACAGTACTTTAACCCCTGTTGATGAAATTTCAAAAGTACGCAAGTTTACAATTACAGAAATGTAAACATAAGCTACATCCTGAACCATTCAACTGAAAAATATCTGTAAAGTAGTTTAAACAAGCTTTGATGACAAAGTGGAGGTCCAAGCCTTTCTAGAGGACAGCGCAGCGTTGCCTGGTCCTTTCTAACCTGTGATGTGATGTCAGAGCTGCAGTGAATGCTGGGAAATGTAGTTCTACTCTGGTTATGCAGCTTGATCAAAACATGGATGGTTAAAGTGAAGTGTCCTTTCTTTAACCTGCAATTCAAATTCTGTCTCCTGTGTTTGTTTTTCCAGACCGCCTGCAGGATTATGTTGGAAAAGAAGAGGTTTTCCCTGAGCAGCAGTTCTCTGAACAGGAGAGGAATTCCAGTTTGGACCAAGCAGAATCAGAACCTCTGCAGATAAAAGAAGAGCAGCAAAAGCCAGAACATCCCTGGATAAAAGAGGAAACCATGGCGCTCCACATAAGTGAGCACGAAGAGCAGCTTGTTGAGACTGTAGATACAGAAAGGAACCCTTTCCCATGTTTGTCCTGTGGAAAAAGCTTTGCAAGAAAATACCATCTTGATAGACACATCAGAATTCACACAGGTGAGAAGCCATTCTTTTGTACTCTTTGTGGTAAAACTTTTACCACAAAGACTAACTTCACTTCTCACATGAGAATTCACAGAGGTGAGAAGCCTTTTAAATGTGAGTCCTGTGGAAAAAGCTTTACTCATAAAGGCACACTTGATAAACACATCAGAATTCACACAGGTGAGAAGCCTTTTAAATGTGGGTCCTGTGGAAAAAGCTTTACTCAAAAAGGCGCTCTTGATAAACACATCAGAATTCATACAGGTGAGAAGCCATTCTTTTGTACTCTTTGTGGTAAAAGTTTTACCACAAAGACTAACTTCACTTCTCACATGAGAATTCACACAGGTGAGAAGCCTTTTAAATGTGGGTCCTGTGGAGAAAGCTTTACCGTAAAAACCGCTCTTACGAAACACATCAGAATTCACACAGGTGAGAAGCCATTCTTTTGTACTCTTTGTGGTAAAAGTTTTACCACAAAGACTAACTTCACTTCTCACATGAGAATTCACACGGGTGAGAAGCCTTTTAAATGTGAGTCCTGTGGAAAAAGCTTTAACCAAAAAGGCAATCTTTATAAACACATCAGAATCCACACAGGTGAGAAGCCTTTTAAATGTGGGTCCTGTGGAAAAAGCTTTAACCGAAAAGACACTCTTGATAAACACATCAGAATTCATACAGGTGAGAAGCCATTCTTTTGTACTCTTTGTGGTAAAAGTTTTACCACAATAAGTGGCTTCACTTCTCACATGAGAATTCACAGAGGTGAGAAGCCTTTTAAATGTGAGTCCTGTGGAAAATGCTTTACTCAAAAAGGCAATCTTGATAGACACATCACAATTCACACAGGTGAGAAGCCTTTTAAATGTGGGTCTTGCGGAAAAAGCTTTACTCAAAAAGTCAATCTTGATAATCACATCACAATTCACACAGGTGAGAAGCCTTTTAAATATGGGTCTTGCGGAAAAAGCTTTACTCAAAAAGGCCATCTTGATAAACACATCAGAATTCACACGGGTGAGAAGCCTTTTAAATGCGAGTCCTGTGGAAAAAGCTTTACTCAAAAAGGCTCTCTTGATAAACACATCACAATTCACACAGGTGAGAAGCCTTTTAAATGTGGGTCTTGCGGAAAAAGCTTTACTCAAAAAGGCCATCTTGATAAACACATCAGAATTCACACGGGTGAGAAGCCTTTTAAATGTGAGTCCTGTGGAAAAAGCTTTTACCAAAAAGGCAATCTTGATAAACACATCAGAATTCACACAGGTGAGAAGCCATTCTTTTGTACTCTTTGTGGTAAAAGTTTTACCACAAAGACTAACTTCACTTCTCACATGAGAATTCACACGGGTGAGAAGCCTTTTAAATGTGAGTCCTGTGGAAAAAGCTTTACTCAAAAAGGCAATCTTGATAAACACATCAGAATTCACACAGGTGTGAAGGCGTTCTCTTGTACTCTTTGAGGTAAAAGTTTTACTAGCAAAAAAAGCTTGATTTTTCACACAGGTGAGAAGCCTTACAAATGTCTGTCCTGTTGAAAAAGTTTTTCTCAGACATCTTATCTTACTAGTCACATCAGAATTCACAGCAGGTGAGAAGCCTTTCTCTTGTATTAGGTGTGGGTAAAGTTTAAATTGAAATGATAATTTGACTTCTCACATATCAACTCATGTGAGAAATGTTTTCCATCCATGAAGCTGATCTAAAAACAAAGATTTATTGATTCCCATAAGAAGTCTCAGCAGTTAGACGCCACAGATATGGACAGGAGAGACCTTTCCCAGGTTTTACCCGTGATAGAAAGCCATAAAACACTGACACATTGTTTGTTTGAAGAACTGAACAAGGTTTAAATTGTTTCTGTTATTTAGTTCAAAGGTGATGTTATTGCTGATCAATTTGAATCTGCTAGAACTTGGTAAAAATACTTTTTATCTGTTTCTTTTATTTAATCAAGTTTTTATTTTATATTTTACAACTGTTAAACTGTTGGATTAATTGTACAAGTTATTCTACTTTAATCATATTATACTTATACATTCATATTTACACATTTGCATATTCCTGTTTACTTGTATTACACAGAGTGTTGAAATGTTTTATTTGCTGTGTTACTAAGCTTGTTATTAGTGTGTGCAGGAAGACCAGTCGGGGTCAAGGAGAAAATGGAGAACTGCACGCACTAGCACCGGATAAGGAGTGAAAGCTCTCCTTATCTTATGATACTGTATGATGCTATGCAGAACTTCTGGTTCCAACTGGTTTCACCCCCTCCTCCCTTTTAGCAGTCGGAACCAACATTGTAGCCAGGGCGTTCCTTAATAAAATGCTTGGAGGGCAGAGCTGTTTCAGAGTGGTTACGAGAATTGTAACTGAACAGTCTCTGATCACTCTCCTTGCAAGTAAATCATACTAAATTCTCTGTGTCTTTCTTTGTACAGGTTACTGAATAAGGTGTTTGGTGTTTAAACCTAACATTAATTGGTCCTTCGAGCCGGATTGCAAGATACCCGAAGATCCCCAGCAGGTGAGTGAGATCCAGATAAGCCTGCGGCCGCAGCAAACAGACCCTTTACGGGACTGGTCTCTCCCTTACAAGCTGGGGTCCGACGGTTGAAGCATTTCGAGGACGCAGAGAATTGTGAGTAGTTTTTCTTTTAATAAGGAGTGAGTGAATTATTACAAGAAAAATATATAAAAATATAAAAAAAATTTTTATAAAAATATATATATATAAAAAAAAAAAGAGATAGAAGTGAAGGACAGCGAAGTCCTCTCCGCGTGGGGTAACGGAATCCCCTTGTTGTACTAAAACCCTGACAATTCTAGATTCTATCAGGTAAAATAGAAATTTTAAAACAGTTAAAGTCCGTGGGAGGGCAGGCTCCCCTAGTTTGTAAGGGCAGGCTCCCCTAGTTGTAAACTAGTTAAATTCTGCATAGGATGGCGGCGTCCTCTGTGTTTAAAAAAAAGTAAAAGTTAACTGCGCAGTGTGTGTGTGAGTGTGTGTGAAAGGAAATATAGATATCACTAGATATCTGTATTTCATACCAAAAAGACAAGGGTTAAATGGTGAGCTTTTGTGGATGTTTGTAGACAAGAAAACTCCACCTGTAAAGGTTGAAGTGAGTTTTACCACAAAAAGTAGTTGATCACCATCTTGTCTGAAGCCCCAGTGTTTAAAACACGACAGGTGTTGAAAACCCACTGGGCCCAAATTTAGTTCAAAATGGGAAAAGGGCAAAGTAAAGAAAAACAGAAGTTATTAGAGAAACTCCAGTGTAAAGATTGGAAAGCAGTCAAAAATGATGACCCATTGGCGGTAGAGCCGTTGTGTTACTGGATAAAAAACTACGGTTTTAATGGCAAATTGAGCACCACAAACATTAAAGAATTGCAACAAAAAATAAAAACAAAAAGCAAAAATAAAGACACTTTGATGGCAAAAGAAGGTTACATGCAAACCATGGTCTGGATGAAATTAGCAGGACAGAGAGAAGAGGGAAAGCGTAGAGTTAAGAGAGAGAGAGAGGAGAGACAAAGAAAAGCAGTAGAAGGAATTCCCTCTCCAAAGAAGGATGTGGAAGAATGTATAATTCAAGAATGGGTAAATCGTCACCACATAGAGATGAGTGGTGGGGAAGGGGAAGAGGTTTTGGATCACGCTCAACTGATAATTCCGGAGCGTGTTGGTCATGTGGGAAAGAAGACCACATAGCTAGACACTGTCGATGTAAACCACAAAAATAGGAAGCTCAGCATGACTAGATGAACAGCCATGTCTTAAACCTAGAAGATTTGTGTTTTTTTTAAAGAAAAATATAGACCAGAAATAGTTCTGATGGTCCAGGGCACTCCTGTTAAATTTTGTGTGATACAGGAGCCTGCAGAACCACAATAAAAGAACCCATATCCTTGCACATACCCATCGTAAAGATGATTTACCTGTAGGTCCATATTCAGCATTATTACAGCAAGCACAAGCAGCTTTACAGCAAGACCCAAATGAACTTGGTGCTGCTGCTGCTTCTGCTTCAGCCCCAGTCTTGCCAGCTCCTAAAGTTGAGAATCCACCGGCTTATTCTCCTATGCCCAGCACCTCCACAAGGGTTACCCGTTCTGGGGGACCTGTGGGGGCTTGGTCAAAAGATAGGGGGGGGGCTTAATCTCCCCACAGCCAGCCCCTGAACCCAAACCTGAAACTGAGGTGTTTCCTTTAATCGAGCTGCCCAATCCTTTGGCGGGTCAGGGGCCAGCTGAAAATCCATTTTTTCCTGTCATGATGGTCTATAGGCAGGGGCGGATTTAGGAAATTTGGGGCCCTAGGCATGGACAGGCAGGGGGCCCCCTGACAAGAAAACCTATAAAACAGTCCCATTCTACAGATAGAGAAATGTTAATAGAATAGACATCCATTATTTGTTCTAGGTTTTGTCCCTCTCTTCTTGTCCCTTTTTCCTCTCTATTTATCAGCCTTCTGATGGCATTTTAGCCAAAGCATTTTTATCAAAAACATAATTAATATGCACAAATAAGGATTAGTTGTGTTAACTATACATGTGAATAGCACCCCAACAGTTTTCCTGTGTGACAGTGGTGCATGCAGAACAACTGTTAAACAACAAATTCCAGGTGCTGGCCAAGGACCTGAGACTGTCATAGTCCGATCAGCTCAAGGTCATTTAAAGGCTGTGCAGGAGATCCAGCTTGTGTGGTTGAGAGAACCTGAAGGACTCTCCTGCCGGCTGTCTGTACTGACTTTACCTGAATGTCCAGTTAACCTCTTAGGCAGGGATGCTCTAGCCATGCTTTGCTTAGACAGAGGCTGGGCATCCCATCCCTGACTGTACAGCAGTCCATGGACCCGAATGACCTACACATTACCATGTGGTACAAAGACTCTCCAGGTCCTGATAAAGACTATGAAAAACTTACTTGGATAAAAAAATAAATAAAAAAAAAAAAGTGTCAGGGCTCTGCCTCTCTCTCCCTTCTCTGCAGGTGGCTGGAGCTGACAGGTGGGCGTGGTACACACCTGTGGCTTGTTCAGCGGCGTGCGGCTCTGCTATTTAAGCAGTACTTTGACAGCTAATGGACGCCAGAGTGTTAACCTTGTTGGTCTTTTCTCCTTGTGAAAACCGTTCCAGTGTTTCCTCGAGCTCCGACGTCTTCAGTGGAAGTTCTCCGGTTCAGACTGTTCTGGATCTACCTCTGAATAATCCCTCTAGCTCCCTTGGTGGTACCAAGCCGGGCTGGAGAGCCTTTCAAGTCCTTCTGGTTCCATTAGCTGCCCCCGGATTCCTCCTTGGCCGCTGCTACTCGGGCCCCTCCTCACAGACTTCAATCACCTGCCCGCCTGTCGCTCAGTCACCTGCCAACTTCTCGGGAGGTTCCTCAGTGAGTCCGTCTCTCCACTCCCCCCTGCCCGGTTCCTTCATCCGGCGATCGATCAGTCCTGCCTGCGCTGATAGTCCACCTGCTCACCGTGCCGCAGCTCCCAGTGTTTGGTTCCCTCGCTGTTTAATTAAACGTCTGAAAATTGCTCTTGCCTTCTGTGTTGGTTCTGCATGTGGGTCAAGCACCTCAAAACCATGACAAAATGGGGCGCTGCAATGAAGGATGGCACCCAAGGGCGTAGGTTTGATTTGAACTTTGGTAGGGACACTATTGGTCTGGTGTCATTGGTACTATGCATTATGCATGCCCTTTTTTATGCTTGACATGAGCATCAGTACTGATGAGAGGAATTCATTGTTTAAAGAGAAAAGGAGCATTTTGCTACATTAATAAACATTTTTAAACACTGCACTCACTAGATGTTGTTTATCAATGTTGAAGTATCACCGGCTCTGATGAATGTGGAATTAGGACTGTTTTCCACTTTGTAAATGATTTTATTTGAACAACTGAGATAGACGGTAAATACAGTACTTTCTTCTGAATATATAGAATTGTGCAGAGTTAAACCCCACTCTTATATTTTTACCTACTATTCTCTCTCTGTATCAAGCAAAATAATACATTCATTAAAATAATAACTTCACTATAAAAGTTGAACATCTGGGCTGTAGGTACTCTGTGTTGCCCATCTCATGTATTTTATCTGTGGCTGAAAACATGAATCATATTAATTGATTATTTGCATATTCGTAATCAAATTTAGTGATTCATCATTAAATGGAGTATAGAGACTCTAAAACATAATATACATGTAAAATCTGGCTTTTCCCGACAGAGTAACCCACTTGGATCAGTAATCATACCAAAACTGTAAAATAAATTTATAAACATTTTGCAAATACGATTATAAAATGTTTTTGTCTGTCAATACTTTCCGTCCGGAGCTCTTCAGGAGGAGATGTTTTGGTTTCACCTGGTTTAATGTCATTAGTAATCTTCTTTACAGAACTTTTGGCTAACCAATTAATCGAAAGAATTAACGATAGACTGATCGATTTACGAAATAATTGTTAGTTGCTGTCCTAATTTCATCGTAACATTGCATTAAACATAACATTTCTTATTAAATACATGTGAAGTGGGGATGACATTCAACGAAACAAACATGTTAATCAGCCAAACTATCTTAAAATCCTTGATGGCACCTATATGTGACCAGAAAATAAACCAATCCTTCCAAATAAAAAATTTCTTTTAATGAGCTGCTATATTGAGTCATGCTTTTACTCATGTCTCAACCGGGAGGATTGTAGGATTGATTGAGCATTGAGCATCATTATACAGCATATGGATTTATATTCTATGCAAAAAACTTTTGTAAAGCATGTCTAATATGTGCTAAACATAATCTTCAAGGAAATTTAAGACCTAAAAAAGGTGCTTTCCTAAACCTATTTATCCTTTCAATTCTCTTTGGTTATAATAGATTTGTTTTCTAAATGGATTGCAAGAAAGTGATAGTTAGATCAGATGAGTAATAAGTAAAATCACTTTCATAATTATTCTCTGGAACCTGACCGTACTACTTAGCACTCTAGTAATTCTACTGTGGTACTTGTTATAGAATACACATTTGATTTCCTTCACCGACCTTCAGAGGAAGTCCATCGTACAAAGGGGGTTGTATTTTTAGTATACAACCATCTCAAACTGGTGAAGGTTCAACAACTCTGCCGAGAGGTCATAGGAAGTAGACCATTGTGTAAAAAGATTATCCATAGAACACTTTTTGAAATTTGAACCTAGATGCGATTATTCATATTAGTTTTGTCTTTAGCTCTCACTCAGGGCAAGGATTCTTGTTGCCCCCATGATCCAGTTATTTGTAAAAGGGACGTCTATCTCTGCTATAACTCTACTAGAATAATCAGTTTGGTGACTATTCCTTTTCAAACATTCTCGTAAAGATTTAAACATGACCCGGGAAATTGGCACGGTTATGATTTCTACCTATTTCCTCGCGTAGTTCGAAGAACTCATAATGGTTGGGGAGACGTATTTAGAACCACTGGACAGTGGAAAAAGGGATCGTATGGATGGACACCTTTAGCTAAGAAATGGATGAGTAGAATATCAGGGTTCACTGTTAACCATGCCTCCAAAGTTTTCACTATGATAAACTCCACAGCAGAACCCCTTGAGAAGGAAGGCTGTTCTTCCTCATTTCTATGTGCACGGTCTAGTGGAACCGATCCATGTTGGCCTTTGTATTTGTGCCCCGTAAATATTACACAAGAAGGAGATGAGATACAAGGGATTCTTACTTCTGCCCAAGGTGAACAGATAAAAATTCGAAATATTAATGGTCCGCTTAAAACAGATGAATTGTTTCAAGTCATCACTGGAATCTCTGGGCAAACTAACAACTGGCTTTTAATGGCAGAACAAGCAGCTAAAACAGTGTCTAATGATTGTCTTGTGTGTATGGGAGCTAGACCGCTGTTACGCGTGGTTCCTGCCACCATAACTCCTCAATGTCTTCTAAATATAATGAATTATACGGTCCCAACTAATAATTGCACCTATTGGGATAAGATCTATCCCCTGACCACAGCTGAGAAAAAGAAACCAATCTTTCTGAAAAAAGTAGCTGTGGCAAATTTCACCTGTGTAAACAGGACCGGAGTGGGCCCGAAACTAGGCACACTAAATGAAACACAATGTGCAAGCATTTTACTGGTATCCATTTTTTTTAAACCTCAATCCCGCAGCGACATCTGGTGGTGGTGTGGAGATGACAAATTGTTTGACAGACTTCCATGCAACACCACTGGATTATGTGCTGCGGTCACCTTGATTTTACCTGTTTCTGTTACATCACTCACAACGGATGAATTGTTAACGACTGCAAACAGCACTTTACCTCACACAGAGCATACTAGAAGGAGGAGGGCATCTGAAAATGCATGGAGTAGAGATGATCCTACTTATATTGATAGCATTGGTGTACCCAGAGGTGTACCTGATGAGTATAAACTAGCCAATCAAGTTTCTGCAGGATTTGAATCTTTCTTATGCTGGTGGTGTACTATAAACAAAAATGTAGACAGAATCAACTACATCCATTATAACGTCCAGAGGCTGGGAAATAAAACAGAACAAGGCTTCTCCGCCATCCATGAACAATTGTCAGCTACCTCTCTGATGGCTTTCCAGAACCGTATTGCTGTTGACATGTTGTTAGCTGAAAAAGGTGGTGTGTGCTCTATTTTTGGAGATCAGTGTTGCACCTTTATTCCCAACAACACCGCTGCTGATGGCAGCCTCACAAAGGCCCTTGAAGGCCTTCGCTCTCTTAACAGCAAAATGAAAGACCATTCTGGAGTTGACACAAAAATGTGGGATGGATTTGGAGACATTTTTGGTAAATACAAACAATTGGTGCTTTCTACAGGTGCTGGTCATAAAATTAGAATATCATGAAAAAGTAGATTGATTTCAGTAATTCCATTTAAAAAGTGAAACTTGTATATTATATTCATACATTACATACAAACTCATATATTTCAGATGTTTATTTTGTTTAATTTTGATGATTACAAATGACAACAAATGAAAATCTCAAATTCATCATATCAGAAAATTAGAATATTACTGAAGACCAATAAAAACAAAGGATTTATAGAAATGTTGGCCAACTGAAAAGTATGAACATGAAAAGTATGAGCATGTACAGCACTCAGTATTTAGTTGGGCCTCCTTTGGTCTGTATTACTGCAGCAATGCGGCGTGGCATGGAGTCGATCAGTCTGTGGCACTGCTCAGGTGTTATGATAGCCCAGGTTGCTCTAATAGTGGCTTTTAGCTCTTCTGAATTGTTGGGTCTGGTGTATTGCATCTTCTTCTTCACAATACCCCATAGATTTTCTATGGGGTTAAGGTCAGGAGAGTTTGCTGGCCAATTAAGAACAGGGATACCATGGTCCTTCAACCAGGTACTGGTAGCTTTGGCACTGTGTGCAGGTGCCAAGTCCTGTTGGAAAATGAAATCTGCATCTCCAAAAAGTTGGTCAGCTGCAGGAAGCATGAAGTGCTCTAAAACTTCCTGGTATGTGGCTGCGTTGACCCTGGACCTCAGAAAACACAATGGACCAACACCAGCAGATGACATGGCACCCCAAACCATCACTGACTGTGGAAACTTTACACTGGACTTCAAGCAACGTGGATGAAGTGCCTCTCTTCTTTTCCTCCAGACTCTGGGACCTTGATTTCCAAAGGAAATGCAAAATTTACTTTCATCAGAGAACATGACTTTGGACCACTCACCAGCAGTCCAGTCCTGTTTCTTTTTAGCCCAGGCAAGACGCTTCTGACGCTGTCTGTGGTTCAAGAGTGGCTTGACACAAGGAATGCGACAGCAGAAACCCATGTCTTTCATACGTCTGTGTGTGGTGGTTCTTGAAGCACTCACTCCAGCTGCAGTCCACTCTTTGTGAATCTCCCCCACATTTTTGAATGGGTTTTGTTTCACAATCCTCTCCAGGGTGCGGTTATCTCTCTTGCTTGTACACTTTTTTCGACCACATCTTTTCCTTCCCTTCGCCTCTCTATTAATGTGCTTGGACACTGAGCTCTGTGAACAGCCAGCCTCTTTAGCGATGACCTTTTGTGTCTTGCCCTCCTTGTGCAAGGTGTCGATGGTCGTCTTTTGGACAACTGTCAAGTCAGCAGTCTTCCCCATGATTGTGTAGCCTATAGAACTAGACTGAAAGACCATTTAAAGGCTTTTGCAGGTGGTTAGTTAATTAGCTGATTAGAGTGTGGCACCAGGGGCCATCAATTTTGAACCTTTTCACAATATTCTAATTTTCTGATATGATGAATTTGAGATTTTCATTTGTTGTCATTTGTAATCATCAAAATTAAACAAAATAAACATCTGAAATATATGAGTTTGTATGTAATGTATGAATATAATATACAAGTTTCACTTTTTAAATGGAATTACTGAAATCAATCTACTTTTTCATGATATTCTAATTTTATGACCAGCACCTGTATTTTAATGTCTATAGCTGTATTTGCCGCCATCTTGACCTTATGTGGATGTTGTTGTATTCCATGTATTAGAGCGCTGCT